ACGGTATTGGCGTGATAGAGACGGTATTGGCGTGATATAAACGGTATTGGTGTATTAGAGACGGCATAGCTGTGGCAGAGACGCTATGGCCGTGGCAGAGACGGCTATGCAATGGCAATTTCGACAATATTCCAGTTGGAACTTTGTATACTTTCTACGATCATATTCCCAGCATTGAATCGTAGCTTTTGGTTGTCCAGCCCAACATTATTTTATTGAAATTATTATACATAAAGAGAGAATAATTAACCGTTGCTCTGAAATATGAATATTTGATACCAACATTCGCGATTAATTAAAAAAAACTTTAAGAGAGTAATGGTAACGGAATGCGTATATTTTTATTGATATTGCAGGAATATTTTTCACTAATTATAAGAATTATTTCTTATCATTGCGTTTGTTATCGCAGTCATACTTTAAAATTGTTACTCGGGTTAAAAAACGAATTACAAATTAAAAATTTGTAATTCGTAATTTTAATGAATAAAATTTTTATTCATTTATTATGAGAAAATTCGCTGAATTTTATCCCAAATTCGGAACCGCCTGTGTATTTTAATTATATAAAGAAATTTGAATAACTGCGTGGGTATACGGTACGAGGAAAATTTAGTATGAGGATCATATGGCATGAATTGCAAATTTACGAAGAATTTAATAGTAAATAAAATAGCAGAAAAATTCACCATTTTACGGTAAATTTTATTTAGAGTGAATCGAAATCACTATTTTTACTTAGGATTTATTTTGCCGCAACTGTCGAGCTTAGCTTGACTATCGTCTTCAGTAAATATTATTCCGAATGCAATGCGGTACTAACAAGTATTGACACCTTACAGCTCCTTACAAACATGGAATAGAAAAACCAAAGAAAACATGAAAAAATATAACTCAGTACTCACTTCAGTGAGTGACAGAGAGCGCATTTTCTCGTCGACGAAAACGTGGAGTCACAGACAGACGGACGGACAGATGGACATTGCGAGCACAATAGTGCATTTTTTCAATAAATGAGAAAATGCGCTAGAAAGAAAATATTTGTTTGAAAATTATTTAAAAACAATAACCCTTTATAATGTCCATGATTCATGAAACTTTGATGTTAAGGAAAAGTGTAGAAATCGTTACGTTGGGGTTTAAAGATTTCTGGTCGTTAGATTATGAACTGTAATTGTTCAATTGTATTTCCATGTAAAAAATACGAGCTCGAATAGACCGCAACATGCCTGGGACAATCATTTAGGATCACAATGTTAATTAATTTATGAAAATTGAGTGTACCTCATAGCCGACTGAACCTCCATGTTAGACCGTAATAGTAATTTTCCTGCGAATCAGAGATACGGAGCATATAATTAATGCCCTTACATTAAAAGTGGATTCGTAATCCTATGCAGGAAAATTCGTAAACTTTACCCAAAACGAACGCTGAACTTGGAAGTCCAGCCTTGCCTTGATTTTCATCAAACTGATTTTTTATCAGGCCTCGGCTAACGTTCAAGAAAATGGCAAGCCAGGATCTGTGCAAAAGTTGGAAGATTTGATTACGGAGACTTTGGATATAAATGTTGTTAATGACCTGACATTTCACATGGCTGATTTGATATGCTTCACATGTCACAATATCACATGGCTGATATGAGATGCTTCACATGTCATAATATCACATGGCGGATATTAGGTGCTTCTCACATCACAATATTATATGACTGACATGAGATGCCTCACATGTCACAATATCACATGGCTAATAAGAGATGCCTCACATGGCTAACATATCACATGGCGGATATTAGGTGCTTCTCACATCACAATATTATATGGCTGATATGATATGCTTCACATGTCACAATATCACATGGCGGATATTAGATGCCTCACATGTCACAATATCACATGGCGGATATTAGATGCCTCACATGTCACAATATCACATGGCTGATATGAGATGCTTCACATGTCACAATATCACATGGCTGATATGAGATGTCTCACAAGTCACAATATCACATGGCTGATATGAGATGCCTCACATGGCTAACATGTGACATGTATTATCCCCGTTCGAGCACTAACAAGTGGAAGACTTTCCTTTCAATAGCAGTTAAAAATTTTTGGAATGCTACATTTTAAAACCGATTCAATGAAACAGAAATCCCTTATTTTGTAATGTTAATCATAAATTTGAAATCATCTTGGATCCGAAACATTTTTTTCCAAAAATTATTTGACAAGTCCGAGCGACTTCGCATAATGACTTTAATGCAATCGCATATACTGGCCGAGGGTTTTTAAATAGACTTTATTGATACAGCACATGAGTGATGACGAAACACTTGTCTGCGGTCATGTTCTCCGCTGTCGTTGTAATGACTAGAAGCGAAATTTCGGTGGAAAAGAACATCGGCTGAAGACAGGACGGCGCGACAATCGATTTGTACATAATAATATTGTCATTATTATATATTACATAATATTATCATATTATATAAACATGTATAAAATATTATTATCATATTATGTTTTATAGTATTATCAATATTATATACCAGTATATACATATTATACTTGAATTATATATTTTCATTCAAATTATTTGTAATAAAAATAGTAATGAAAATTATAATGATGGCGATGATAAAAATAATATCAATAGTATTCTTTATTCTTTATTCACAGAGGAGCAGACAACAAATATACATAAGAGACCATCGAAAATTTAAAGAAAAAATACAAAATGCTTCCTTGTGAATGCCTGTATAAGTGAAAAAGCTTCCCAGGCGACATAGGCGATATTACTCGCAATAGAACAATAACATATAATGATAATGAGATAAGTCAATAGGGAACAGAAAGTGCCTAAAGTAAAAACATCCTGATAAACTAACCCTTAAAAAAACTGATATGAGAATACGCAGCTTGGCGACTAAAAATGAATGAAACAAAGGCAATAACAACCGATACCTAAAAGACAGATCCAACTATGACTAAAAGTCAAAACAATGTTGACTTACGCCATAATATTTATCAAAGATCTTATTAAGAAAGGCAATTACTCAAATCGTACATGATAGTCGAAGTCAAATTAATAATGGGTAAGAATAAGATCGCGGAATTTAGTCTTTAGAATGAGTTTAGAACAATCTACTTTAAACTCATCAGGCAATTCATTAAAATATTTTACACAATTAAAAACTGTACCGTTTCTTTCAATTTCTAACCGAACCGGGGGTAAGTTAAAACGCATGCCCCTGGTGTTATGGGAATGTTGAGGAACAAGAGAGTCGAATGCAGAATTAAAAAGACGTTCATCGTGGAAAAGTGCCCTAGTAATAATATTAATATAGATAATAATAATACAACATTATTGATAACAATCAGATCGCATCGAGTGAGCGGCTATACTATTAGTGGAATAAGCGACGTTTGCCTGACTGTCGTCCAGCGCTGAGCGACGTGACCGCTCTATTGAAATTATGAAGAAATAGACAAATTTTTGTTTGAATTTGCAGTGAATGAGGCAATTGTTTTGATTAAATTTAGATGTGTGTAGATGTTGGAGACGATTCAAAATATTCCTGTGTGACAAATATGAGTAGTCTTTATTTGATACAATGAATATTTTAGGATATATTGCAGTCTTTTTAACGCATTTTCTCTTTTATGGAAAAAATGCCAAATTGTGCTCGTCAGGTCCGTCTGTCCGTCCGTGACTTCACATTTTCGCCGACGAGAAAATGCGCTCTCTGTCACTCACTGCAGTGAGTACCGAGTTATATACTTTCAGCTATGACAGATTCTCTTCAAAATGAAGATGTAATGGAAAATTATTTTCATAGTTTATTATTCTAGTGCCCTAAAAGCGATTCATTTTATTATCTCAGCTGAAAATTCACGGATCTGAAAATTCACCATTAAGACCCATGTATAAATTTAGAATTTGATTTTGCAAGAATTTCGAGGAAGTGATGTTCTATGATGAACTAGATGTATAATCACATTCACTCAGGCGCTTCCCTCTCTATAATACTTCGACAGAACTTTTAGTCACATTATCACATCAGTTATCGTGTTAGTTTAGTTCTTACATTAAATTCATTAAAACCATTTCGAACATATTCTTTGTTTATGCCTTGCAGCCCATTCGCATCTTTATTATAGGAAATAATTCAAATTTGAATTACTTGCTCCCTTTGACTCAACTTTAATTTTTTCAAAATTTGAATTTTCACTCATTAGATATGTTCATTTTTTTAGTTGTCTCATGTTTTAAATAGTGTAATGTTGCTGTACCTTTTTGAAGTTTATTTTTAGTGACCTGTTGCCAAAATTTTCATGGGTAGCTAGTAAAACTGTATGTGTTTGGTAACATTACCTTTTTTCTCGTAATTACCCAATTATCATTTAATAAAGTCGTGCACCGTCTTCTTTCTCGCCTTTAGCTTGTACTAATATTCACTTGAAAGTTTTTTTTTCGTAATTTTTCTAATCATGTTGTTAATTTGTTACGTATTGGGTACTCGAATAACTTGTCAGTCCAACGATTTGAGCCTGTTCCGAAATGTTAAAAAATTACTAAAATAATAGCATATTACATTATAAATCGAATTCAAACTAAAATAATAATAACGAATTCATTGTAAAAAATTTTACTTTCGTGTCCTGAATAATAATTTTCAATTTTTTAAAGCATTGCCAGAAAGAATCCTGAGTTTGTAGTGATGAGTCACACTCAGACATACGTTTAAAAAAATGTTTAGAAGTGACTATGGTGTGGACCAAGATTTATTGACGATCGTTTCAATGGATCGAAGTTGAAAGTCTTTAATGAAAAAAAAATAAAGTCCACCGTGCATATGCGACCGAACACCTGTTAGCCCCAATCTTCGATCGAACACATCTGTTTTGGGTTCGTCGTTTCGTTGGCTTGTAACGAAAAATCGATTGCAAATAACAGACACCTGCTCGCTATTTTGTTTGCATTCACGCAACGTATCGCGTCGAGTGAGCTGTATAATAATGGTGGATCGCGCGATGTTTTCGAGCCTGTGTCGTGTAGAGCTAAGAAAAATGATGGCCGCTGTACTGACATTAGGATTACACCAACTTATTCTACTCGTCTATTGTTTGAATCAGGTGTGTGTTTTGATTCTACTTTAATTATTAAAATCGGGTGCAATAAATATCATGATTGAGTATTTGATGAAGTGTATTCAGTTTCGTTACGTTAATAGTGTAAGACATATCAGGTTGTGTTTCATTTGATAATATTTGTCGGTAGTATCTAGGTTACTTTAAAACGGATGTTTCAGCCTCTCGTTCTAGAGAGACTACAAACATAGTCAACTATTTTATATTGCAATGTTAGATTCAATAAATTTGGGGTACACTCTTCATTAATATTAATTCATTCATGAAAACAGTCTAATACTCATATAAATCTAAAAATGATAAATTTGAAATTATTTGGAAACATCTGTGCTGATTTGAACGATAAATTTCCACTACAAATTGAAACTTTAAAAATTTTCTAGAAATTTAGACTTGGCTCTCGTTGTGCAACCTGACAGAGCACTTATATTATAATATGAAGGTCAAAATTTCATTATTTCAAACCTGACAAGTGAGTGACAGCATGAGAAACTTTTTGCCTATAAGCTCAGAAATCTCAAGATTCTGTGATCAGTTCAAATATGAAATGGTAAAGCATTGGAACAATAGTAAATCCTATAAGGACAAGAATGGTATTGTATCCCCATTACGGTATTAACAGATGCTTATGGAAAACTGAATTAAAAGATGTCAGCGGAATAAGAAAGAATTAACAGGTGCCTACAGTTAACTGTGTTTCACGACTGTTTCACGATGTTTAATATTTGCTGCATTTCTTATTTTGTGAAATAGACAAAAACAAACAAATGAAATAACAGTTGGAACATAAAGATTCTTTTTTTACCTGCCACGAGCAAATTTTGAATTTAATTTTAACTCATAAATTTTGACGCTATAGCACAATCAACTATATATCCGCCTTTCCAAAAAGAAATTTACATGAAGATGAATCAATGTTGAATTGAACGTTGTTTCGCTGAACCGACGTTGAATTTAACGTTGTTGCGTTGAATCAACGTTGAATTTAACGTTGTTGCGTTGAACCCACATTGAATTCAACGTTGTTTCGCTGAATCAACGTTGAATTTAACGTTGTTGCGCTGAACCGTCTTTGAATTTAACGTTGCTTCGTTGAATCAACGTTGAATTTAACGTTGCTTCGTTGAGTCAACGTTAGTTAAACGTTTCAACGTCAATTGCCAGGTAGGCACAAAGTGTCCGTTAACGCGACCGTCCCGTGTTTGGCAAGCAAAGAATCACGCACTGAATTACAGGGTAAATTTGAATGACAATGACCGAAAGTTTGTTAGGAATCCGTGACAGGTCAAGCAGTCTGAATGTCACAGATTATTATTTTGTACCGAGTTAAATTAACATGATACATATTTTTCAATTCTTTTCCTTCCACAATACTAACTAATTAGATGTCATGGAGTCTCTTACTCCATAAGTTGAAATCGAAATCCGATTCATACATTAGTATTAGTTATTCGGTGTATTTATTTCTGTAATTAATCGTTTAAAATTAGAGATAATTTGGATGGATTTAACTTTTTATGATATGTTTATCTATTGTAAACATGTTTAGAAAGGCGTTTTCCTCAGAATAGTAATTCAAAACTATATAAAACTACTGCGTTCCGTTGTACTTTGATCAATAGAACGTCGTATTCCCTTAAAGCGTTACATCAAGCCTTACTAGCATGTAAGGTTATTAATATTCTAAGACCAGGCACTTAGATATTCAGGTAGATATTCAAAAGCTTGTACAAAACCAATTAGCGCCGAGATTTTCGTCCCGCACTTTATCTCCGAATGCATGCCAACGATTGCAACTACACATTCAAACTGGCACCTATAGGCACCTATAATAAAATTCAAACTGGCACCTATAGGCACCTATAATAAAATTCAAACTGGCACCTATAGGCACCTTTATTAAAATTCAAACTGGCACCTATAATAAAATGGTTAATATTCACCCAAGTGTACTAAGAAGGCCAGAATTTGCCTATTTCTCATCAGCAAATTTGCTGATTTCTCATCAGAATTACTTCTCTTCAAATCTCAACTCAATTTAGCCTGCTGGTATAACCAGACTTGACGTAGGGGTACGAATGCATCTTTGTTTCCCAACTTATTAGCAATTTTTCTTCCCAAACTAAGTAATAGTGTCATCTGTCCACAAGTAAACCCTGGTCCGATTTTTATTCATAGAATTAACTATGCACAATTTAAATAAATAAATAGTGCTCAAATATGGATCATCATTGTTGAAGCCTTGCAGCTAAGCTATAATTTTCAAAGGCTCAAATTGCTATAATGTGTGACAGTTGCTGCGGACATGCATGGCAATTTATTGCCTTGGGCCTCCCTTATGCGACCGTTGGCCATGCAATTTCTCCCTCGGCTAGCTCTCCAACTGCGGAGCTTTATGACTTGGCTCCTCTTACCCCTAGCAGCCTTAGCTTTCTGAAGCTAGCAGCCCTAGCTTTCTTCATGGCCAATTTGATCATAAGCATTCTCAAAATCCAGGTATACCACATCTACACCAGCTCCGTGGTCCAGTAGAACCGAAAGATGGTGGTGGTGCTTAATATATAACTGTCACATCTAGGAGCGATTATGCTGAAAACCATAGTGTCCACTATTATACAGTTCAGCCTCTTCCATATACTGGACAAGGCTCATTGACACTACTTTCTCAAACACCTTGATCACCTGTAAGGTCAAGAACAACCACAGGTCTGTAAGTTTGCTGTCAGTCTCTCGGTCTTCCTTTGTGAATTGGAGTTATTAGTCCCATTTTGAGGTTATCAAAAACGATTCCCTCCATGAACGAGGCTTTTCAGAGCATTGTGAGTGGTGCTTTCAGTGCTCCGGCACACTTCTTCAGCAGCACTGCCGGAACTCAATCGGGTTCTGGTGCTAAAACGTCGCCACTTCTTTGATGTTTCCATCCATAGCTTCCGGACCGAACACACTGATCTCCAGTCCCTTTTCCCTTGAAACTCCTGGAGGGCTTCGATTTAGTTCTCCTGTCTTAAATAAACGGGGAGTTTCTGAACGTTGCTTCAAACTGCGCTGCAAGTAACTCACACATGCCCTGGTCATCTCCTATAAGAACATCGTTATCCTATAGCGAGCCCAAATGAAGGTTTAATTTAGCCTTGGACAGGGCGTATCTGAAGAAATACTTGGGGTTCTCTCTGATAACTTCAACATCTCGTTTCTCGGCAGCTAGTTGTTCCGTCTTGTGCGAGCGTCGCGACCTGCGTTCAGTTTACTTGTGGTGTTCTTCCTTCTATAATTTAAATTTTAATGTATATAAAAAAATTTCAAAAGCATTTCTCTCTTGAAACTCTGATTTCGAAATTAATTGAGGAGAAGATGTTCTGAAGTCATTAACTTTATTTACAAACTCACATCACTAATAAACGTGTAATTTTTTATAATATACTAGATTATAATTATAATTTCATCAAATCATAAACAATTGTAATTCTGACTGACCTCAATTTCATTAGTGTTTTTTAAACTTTGCCTACTTGGTCGAGAATCTCAAAATTTTAGAACTTAAATTGCGATTTTCCTTTAAAAGTTGTTGTTGGGAGAGCAAATTGATAACTGCTGGCTCTTGGTAAATTATTCATTTTAAAAACCCAATTCTTGTAAAAGAGGAATTCATGTACGAAAAGCCATTCTTGTAAGAAAATTCTTTTGTGCAAGATATGCAATTCTTGTAAGAAAAGTCAAAGACTCGATCATTTATTCGTCATTTTAAGGATTTTAATGAGTTTTCATGGGAACGATGGCTCTCAGATGACGGTAGATTTTACGGTCGGTCGTTACAAATATTAATGGCAATAAAAATTGGAAGCGCTGTTGCGAGTAGCAAATCTAATTAAAAACTCAGTGAGTTATTCATGTAGCAATTGCCAAGCCAGTGCAGGGAAACCCCATATCCAGCATCGGGGCTTATAATTAATTGGAAGGTGTCTGATATATATGGATTAGATAATTTTAACACAAAGGTTAATTAACTTAATTTTTTGGTTGCTTAACACAACTTTTTTGTTGACTGAAAAAATTTGGTTGCCTTATTATCACATATAAATATTTGCTAATTTTTCACGTTTCTGAAAATTATTGATTACCAACACCAAGATAAAATCGACATTTTAAACGATTGAAAACTGCAATAAAACATACCTACATCTATATAATCTTACTCCTCCGATTATTTAACCCCTTATTAGCACCCAATTCACAGGCCAGATCGCATTTAACCCCAAATTCACAGATATGAACGCTGCACCGCTCCACTTCCACAATTACCCCATTCGCGTCGACTTGCTGAGCATGCAGAACGACAGAAACCTAACCTGAAATCGTAATCTTAATTATTTAAATTATTGATTACAACATTCATTTCTTACGCGCAAAAATTTTTGATGTTCGACGACGCGTTCAGTCAAGCGACCGCAAGAGGCTCCCATTTTTTTGAGTAACTTTTGTTAAAAAAATTCTGGGTGAAAAATGGCGGAGGAAATTGCCACGTCTCGGAGAATTCCTGAGGGCCAAAGAAACAATTTTACGCGCCCACTGAGAAAGTGACTTTGATCTTCTGTATCTTTGACGTTAACGCGTGTGGCAGTGATAGTAAATTGTAGGAAACCTAGTGTCTGCAACAGCAGTGTTCAGATTATTAGATTATTTATTGTGGGGAGTATTGTCCTGTGAAGTGGACATGGGGCTACATACTTCTTTCATCCGTTCTTAGAAATTTTAATAATTGCTACTAAATTTGTCTTTGCATTTAATTTCGTGCTTGTAATTGTAACTTGCAATTAATAAATTTTGTTAAAAATGCCTCAATAACGAAGAATGCGCTTCTCAAATAGTTAAGCAAACCTCGCGTCGGAATTTTTTCTGTATAATGAAAAACGAACCGGACACAAACGAGTAGAAAATTTTTCTCTGTTAATAACGTACTCGAATCGATCGAGAGTCTTCGGAACGCA